TCTTTCTTCCTTCCTTCCTCCCTCCTTCCTTTCCCTCCCTCCCTCCCTCACTCCCTTCCTTCACTCCTTTCTTCCTGCCAGATTGCCTGCCTTCCCTTCCCCTTCCCTCTTTTCTATGCTCCCCTCCCTTTCCTTGTCACTCCTTCCCCTTCTTTCCTTCTCTCTCTCCCTCCCTCCCTCCCTCTCTCCTTCCCAACTGCCTGCCTACCCTCTTCTAAATCCTTTCTTCCCCTCCCTTGTCACTCCTTCCCCTTTCCTTCCCCTTTCCCTCCTTATCCTTCTCCCTTCCTCCATCCCTCCCTCCCTCTTAAGGTCCTTCCTTCCCTTATTTCTTCATTCCTGGAAGCAACATCATCCCTAGAACAATTACAAGACAGGTTTTTACTCAGCATAAGTCATAAAGTATGAGGTCTGCAAGACACTTGGGCAGCCATCCAGTTCTTCTGCTCTGAATGGTTCCATGTTACGAATAATTGAGTCTGTCTGCTTGAAAAACAGGTCTAGGAAATTTAAAGCCAATGACTTCAGGGGAAATCTTAGGTTGGAATTGACCAAATGTATAATGCGTAGGTAGAAGGCACCAATAAAAAGACTGATTTTTCCCTTTCTTGTTCTTTTTCTCTGTAAAAAACACAAATCTAAAAGCTGAAGCGGGAAGCACAGTATGGTTGGTCATTTTATCTTAGATGTCACCATAGCCCAGGGGAGGCTGGGTGTGAGAGAGTAGAAGGCAAAATCTGAGTTCAGAAGGAATTTTCCAAGAATATTAGCAGTGTCTAAATGCTACCTTCCTCAAATTTTGGCAATTATTAACATTTTTGCTGGTATCTGAGTTTGAACTCAGGCCTCCTGTTTGCTCTCCTACTTGACCCACCCTTCTAGCACTGGTTTTTGCTGTTTATTTTGGAGAAGTCTCATAGATATTTCTGCCTGGGCTAGCTTTTGGAGATGTAATCTCACAGATTTAACTGCCTAGGTGGCTTTGAACATTATCCTCTAGATCTTAGACTCCTGAGTGAGCTAAGGACACCTAGAAGATTATATGCTTTATACTTCATGTTTTTATTTATATGATTTATCTATTAAAAAGATACCTCTTGATAATTTGAAGGGCTGGGCTGGGTTGGGTTAGATGGAAAGAAGAATGATGGAAGAGGTGACACTGACCAAGACACATTATACACATACATTGACATCTTGAATTGGAATCAATTTGTACAATTATTTAAAGATAAAAAGTTGATTGAATTTAAAAATTTTTAAAGGCACATCTAAGTAAACAAGGTATGACTATAATTGCTACTTGAAAAAAATTAATCAGTCAGAAATGTGGTTTAAAAACATGTAAGAATATTATTTGCTTAAAAACATAAAGCTTCAAAACTCAGTTACAAATATAGCAATATATATATATGATATCAGTTTGGTGAAATCACACACTGTTTTGTTGTGAGATAACCCTTACTACACAATTTGCTTTCATAACATAACTTTTTGTTATGTTAAAATAATATTAAATATATGTTAAAAATAATAACCTATTTCTCAACTCAGCATAGTAGATCTGTTTCTGAATAAAAACACATAAATAAACAAGACAATGAACATGTCTATCGAGACAGAACTCTTTCTGGGATGAGGGATGGGGTACCTTGTTTAGGTCTGCCTCTGTACAATTTCAGAGCAAGCCAAAGGCCACTGAGGAGGCATTGTGGCTTCCACTTTTCCCAGGTACTATCTAGAGAAGCCTGGGATTGGTGAATACTTCTCAATGCTTCATCATCACATTCACCAAGACCCCAAGACAGCAGTCCTATCCTGATGTTAGCTGCTACTTTAAAACAGTGCTACATCTTGAAAGGAATTCTCTTGGGCTCCAGAGGATTCATCTTGCCATTTCTCCACTGAGATAAATGAAAGAAGAAACAATGCCAGCAAACACTATTCTTCCAGCATCCTCAAAACCCAAACATTCTGGAGTGTAAAAGCCAAGAGTTATAAGCAAGAGGAAGTATGTTGGGCCCTTGAAAAATAAAATAAATTCTTCTGCTTATTTTGGCTGTGTGTTCCCATTCCTTTCAGATTGAAGTCCAGATTGTCACAAGCAGGAACTATTTCCTTGTAGATTAATTGGGAAGGATTGACCTGTCACCTGGTTTCTCCTAGGTTATCTGGTGGGCTAGAATGGCCAAGAAAATGGAAAATTAGTATTATAATTTAGCTGAGAAGGAAAATAGCACCCTATTGGTGATACTATTTTCAAAGCTGGGAATGAAAGATGTTTACAATATCTTGTTATCTTTAAATAACGTGATTAATAAGTTTTGGATATTTAAGTCTAAAGATGAAAATGGGGTACAATATAGAACAAAACACAATTTGGGAATTAATGCATGCTCCCCAGAGAGAATTAATGTTATCTCCAGAGGTACAATCTCATTAGAACCTAGCTGTCTTTCTGTGGGTCGGCGAGTACTTTCCTAGTCTTGGCAAGCCAAACAGAGTCTATGGTAACAATGAATGTTGTCTTCATAAGCATCCTTGCAGTTCATCATACTGATCTGTTATGACTGGCACAGAGAGCTTTTTTCACTGGGTGTGTTCACCTCAGATATACCGTCCAAATTAAGCTTCTGTAAGACTTACAGGAACTCAAATTTGAAATTGCTCTACTACCTCTCAAATGAAAGAATGACATAAGGAAAAGAAGCAGCTATTTATTTACTTACTTACTTACGTTTAAAGCTCATTTTCTTTTTTGCCAGTCCTGGGGCTTGAATTCAGGGCCTGGGCATTGTCCTTAAGCTTCTTTTGCTCAAGGCTAGCTCTACGACTTGAGCCACAGCCTCACTTCTGGCTTTTTCTGTGTATGTGGTACTGAGGAATTGAACCCAGGGCTTCATGGATGGTAGGCAAGCACTCTATCACTGAGCCGCCTTCCCAGCCCCTAACAATTTATTAAGCTACCAAAATGAGCAAGCTCTGTGCTGGGACCTTTTGTTGGACAGTTTCTTCGGTATTTCTTTGGTATGACTATGTGCCATGTGATTAATGCCTTTGTTTTTTTTTTTCTGGTGCTGAAGTGGAGCACATGAGTTATACCCCAACTCTATTAACTCCATTGTGTAGAAAAAAGAATAAACAATTGTCTGAAATATGATACAACCATCATTGCTAGCTTCTAGGTCTGACTTGAAAATCCAATCAAGTTGAATATTTTCTCAACTCTCCATCTATAATAGGAAAATGACTGACAATATTGTCTTAATAATAGAATGTCCTAAGCTTGAAAAACTGAGTTATGAGTTAGATGGTTCACATCTGTAATTTTAACTACGTAGGAGGTTGACATCTGAGGATCTGAGTTCAAAGCCAGCCCAGGCAGACAAATCTGAGAGACTCATATCTCCAACTAATTATCATAAAGCTGGAAGTTGAGGTGTGGTTCAAGTGGTAGAGAGGCAGCCTTGAATAGAAAAAGCCAAGTGAGAGTACAAGATCCTGTGTTCTAGCCCTGATACTGGCACAAAAACAAACCAAACCAAACCTGAGTTAATGGATTTACTTCCACCAAACTAGAAACAATTAGTAATGACCAAAAATATTCTTAACACGGACATACTGAAAAATCCAAATGTAAAACCAGATATTCAAAATTTTAGTTCTCTGTCTTACAATTGTAAAGTCAGAAGCAAGATCACTTTTATAGCTTTATCTGGTTTTAGGAGTTGTAAACTTGAATGAAAAATCTCAGAAGCTACTTTGCATTATTAATTGTCTTTTACACTTTGTAACTTTTTGCCCTAAAAGCAGCAGAATATTGACATGTAACATGATTCCATATCTTTAACCCATAAAGTTTATGGCAACAGTGTTTCTAGTATGCATTGGAGGAGACTGAATTAAATCTTTCTCTTACTAGCTATTTTCTTTTAAAGGAACAAGCATATGAGGTAATTTTCTGCTTATTAGTGAAGAACAAGTCATTTGCTGTAACTGAGAACCTTTTTCCTTTAGTTCTTTCTTAGTGGTTTACATTATTAAAGTAAGCAATGTCAATTAATTTCAGTTTTACACGTTTTAGGTCTCACCACGGTTTATGACTAAAACCATCTGGGAGTTGTGTCTTATGTCAAATGTTTAAACCAAGTATTTTAAATAACTTTTTCTTTGTCAATTTAAACTCTGTATTAAAAAACTCAACAGCTTTGTAAAAACTGATGACATCTAAACTTTGATGACATAGTACAGTCATTATTAGCACATGACAGTATTCCAGAGCAGGCCCTAGGACATTGTGACAGGTGTTTGACCTGCTCCCACACACCATGACAGAAACTTGAACCCATTTTGGATCCAACAGTTGTTCCTGAAACCTTTCCACTAGCTAAAAACCATACAGTTCAATTATTATTTGTGCCATCTTTTCAATTCTCATACTTTTAAAAGTGTAGGAATATATTTATTTATTAGTGATCTTCAAAATAACCAAGGCAATTAAACTCTAGGGGCAAGATACACAGGCTAGGAAGCTTCTCTTTAAGGGAAAATTAATGCTTTCTTTCTCTAAAACCCACCAGATGTTACTTCTTCACTGAATATTTTGCAATAACTAAGGTCTCCAGACAAAATGGATCATAAATTTGTAGATGATTTTCCAGTGTTAGCCACTGAAGCTAATACAAGGTAATAGTTCAGGGGTGATAAAGGACCATGGGGCTAATGCTGGCCCTTGTCTGCTAAGGACCTTGTGAAAGATTGGTATCGACACTGACATCGAGGCCCCTGCACTTGTCTTGTCATCTCTGAGGTGTGAGTGAGGACTTGTGCCCAGTAGGGTGCACAGGCTACCCTGACAAATGAGTGTGACCCTTCATGCCAGTGCATAGTTGGCCACACTGTGCTCTGCCTCTTCAGCTCTTACTGTTCTAGTTCCATTTAGCTATCAAGGGCCACAGCCCTATAATTCAAAGAAGGAAGACATATGGAGTCAGACTTACCAATTCTTCATTTTCACTCTCTGAATTATACTGTGCTGCTTCTTCTGTCTCTGGCTTCTGAACAATGTTTCTGCAGACAAGCCAGATGGTCAGACTCGCAATGAACATTCCAATATCAGGCACAAACACTCGGATGCCATTGCCAGCATCAGCTCCTTTTAAGCTTTGAAGGCAAAAAATGGGAAGAGGAAATTTAGTTAGTTCTTACAGTTTATAATTAAGTAGCTGATTATCTTATGATTCAGTTTTTAAAAATATTTTATTGTAAAGATGCTATACAGAGGGGTATAGTTACATGAGTAAGTACATTGTTACCCCTTCCCTTATTGTTGTCCCGCTATCCTTTCCCTCCCCTATGATCCAATTTTAATGATTTCAAGTAAAAGATGCTCAATTTCTATCCAGAAAACTTTGCGTTTCACAGAAGTTTAAGAAATATAATGAACTCTAAGTCAACAATTACTCCTAATGCATGTTAACAAATTACATTGTTGTTAACTAAGACACGCGTCCACTATGAATACAATTGCTTTTAATGTAGCTGAAGCAATTAACAACAAAACAGATGTTTTGTTGTTAGCTAGAAAATACACTATTCTAAATGTCAATCAAAGCTAACAGATAAAATGGAGAAATCATTAAAGCCATCCTCTAATCTGGAGCATGTCATTATTTTGTGTTCTTAGTTGATGTTCTCTTTTTTTTCAAAGAAAAGTATACCTAGATTATTTCTTCCAATCTTAGACAAGTAATGTTGGACTTAGAATAACAAGATTTGGGTTGGAGCCTAAGTCTTCATAACAAGTGGCTGCTTTGCATGGGAGGACCTCTTACTGTCCTGACTGTTTTGGGGTAGCAAAAACATTACAGTGCTTGCCTTCCTTACGCTATCAAGTGACACAATGAACAATTTCACTCAATGAAAGCTATGAGGTCATAATTTTATAAAACAATGAATACAAAATGTAGAAAATAATGTCTATTTTTTGTTAAGAGTGAGAAATATTTTCACTGAGATCTATATTTCAAGCCCAGCAGCATCAACTGACATTTAAATCATGTTCAGACTGACAAGAACACTTATTGTTACATCTGATATCTTGAACAAAACGGGGCATAGGAAGCGCAAAGGCCGGGGGTGAGGTGTTATGACAAGAAGCTTCAACCGGAAGAGGAAGAGGGATGTGTCTGCGAAGATAATCTAGACACTGTCCGTGACTGGGGAGCATCCATGGGAAATGAATACAGAAACAGGAAGCAGGTATTCAGCTGCCAGCATGGCAGGTCAGCTTATGTCTCCTCCACCAAGATGAGTTCTAGAATTTCACTGCTGTGAATGTAAAATAGCAGATCCTGATGGCCACCAGCCAGCTTCTAACACTACTCACCCATGGCATAGCCTTGTCTGCCTCAGTGGAACTGACAGTGACCCAGAGCGCCCTGCTATCCTGAGTGACTGCACTCACAGCGCTGTGTCTGGTTAGCTAGGACCTCATCCAGAGGAGTCAACAGGAGCCACAGAGAGGGCCAGCCTGGTGTGCTCTCTATTCACCCGCATAACTAGGAAAAAATTCTGGCAGGATAAAGCTAATGAATAATGAGTGACATGAAGAGACGGTCATGCACATTTTACTGTGTGTTCATAACAGGGGGTGAGGAGCTGAGGACCCTAGCTGAGGAGCCAGGGTCTGTGCTGGCATTGAAAGGTCTGGGAAGATGAGATGGTTCACAGAACTGTTAAGAATAGAACATCAAAGGAGGAAAGGTTTATCAGAGATAAAACTTGGTCAGGGACATGAAGCAAAAGGCAGGAACAAATAGTATGTATGTGTGAATAGTATGTACACGACTGAATGAATGTATGCATGCATAGATATCTGCATGAATGATCATACATGTATATATACATGTGTGTATGAACACATATCAGGATGTATACATACTTGTGCATGTATGTATTTAAGGATGTATGTATACTTACTTCCTCAGTACCCATAGGCTATTGGTTCCATAAACCCTGGTGGTACCAAAATCTAGGATGCTCAAGTCCCTTATATAAAAGTGTTTGTATACAACTCATACACATCCTCTTGTTTAACTCTTCTCTAGATGACTTGTAACACCTAATACAATGCAAATGCAGTTACATGTTGTTACACTGTATTGTTTAGAGAAGTTAAAAAAATCTGTGTATGTTTAGCACAGATGTAATTTTTTTCCCAAGTATTTTCAATCTATGGTCAGTTGATCCATAAATGTAGGACGTGTAGGTACATAGGGCTGACTGACTGTATTTATATCCACTTTGTGTGATCACATACTATATGCATTGACATTGTCTATATTATACAAGTGAAGCTGTTTTTAATTTTATTTTATTGTAAAGATGCTGTGCAGAGGGGTTACATGAGTAAGGTAATGAGAACATTTCTTGTCCAGCATTGTTACCTCCTCCTTTGTTGTTCTCCCAGTTGTTTCAAAAATAGTAAATGAGCTTCATCAGTTGGAGATAACCACTGTTAACATTTGCATAAATAAAAAATATGCTAACAATATATCCACTTCCTGAGTACTTCCTTTGTGCTAAATAAGAGCTATTTAACCCAAGCAACCATGGAACAGAGTATCATTATCTTTTATTTCCAGATACTTCAGCTTCCACCCCCCCCCCCCCCCCCCCCCGGCTGTGGGGCTTGAACTCTGGGCCTGGGTGCTATCCCTCAGCTCAAGGCAAGTGCTCTACCACTTGAGCCACAGCGCCACTTCGTATCTTTTATTTCCATACGAAAAAAACAGGAACTCTCTTTTAAAACAAACTTTTTAACAAATCACTTTTGCTGAGCCATATTTTTCCAACACTTGCTTGTTCTACAAAGGAATTTTAGCAACAATGGAATTCTATGCCTCCATCAGAAAGAATGACATTGCTTCATTTGTTAGGAAATGGAAAGGCTTGGAAAAAATTATATTAAGTGAAGTAAGCCAGGCCCAAAGAAACATAGGTCCCATGGTTTCCCTTATTTGCAATAGCTAGTATATGTCTGAGTCAAGCAGAAAAGGTCAGATAATGTGATGTTAGGGAAATGAACCCTAAGATATGTATTCAATTTTTTTTTTTCTTTCATGCAATTGTTTCTAATACATTTGTAAGATTATTTCTTTGTTGCTTTGTATGTCTCTCCCCCACAGTATAACCCTTGCTTTCACTGTATTTGATATTGGTATAATTTGTAGAGGGGAAGGGGAAAAATAAACCGTTTAAATAGGGTTACTGGTGGACCCATTGCAACAATGAGATGTACAAGTCTTTATGTCGAAAACGAACTTTACAACTTTCGTACGGGGTGGGGGGGGGGGTGAGGGGAAGATTGGGTGGGGGAGTGGGGGGGAGGATGGGAAGGGATGGGAAGGGGAAACAAAGGAGGAGGCTACAATGCTTGATAAGAAATGTAGTCATTATCTTGCCCATGTAATTGTAACCCCTCTGTACAGTATTTTCACAATAAAAAAAAAAAAGAAAAAACCCCCTAAGGATTCAAAAGGCAATCAGCCAGGTGCTGATACTTCACTCTAGTAATCCTAGTTACTTAGGAGGCTACAATCTGAGGATCCTGGTTCTAAGCTAGCCTGAGCATAAAAGTTCAGGAGACTCTGATATCTGCAGTTTAACTAGGAAAAAAAATGCCCAAAATAAGTATGTGAGTGTGTGTGTGTGTGTGTGTGTGTGTGTGTGTGTGTGTGCATGTGTGTGTGCATGCTTACTAGTAATAAGGCTTGAACTCAGGGCCTGGGTGCATGCCCTTAGTTGTTTTTTTTTTTTTGTTGTTGTTGTTGTTTTTGGTTGGTCATGGGGCCTGAACTCAGGGTCTGGACACTGTCGCTCAGCTCTTCAGCTCTACCACTGAGCCACCTTCCTAGCTCTCCTTTAGTTTATTCTGCTTAAGACTAGTGCTCTTCTACTTGAGCTCCATTTCTGGCTTTTTGTTGGTTAATTGGAGATAGAATCTCAGACTTTCCTTCCTAGACTGGCTTCAAATCTCGATCCTCAGATCTTAGCCTCTTGTGTAGCTAGGATTATAGGTCTGAGCCACCAGCACCCAGCTAGATTATATTATCAAAGCACTTTCATGGAAAATAAATTAATTTTAGTACTTCATGAAATGCACAAAGAAAGCTGAGTTGTGGGGAAAAGTTCTAAAAGAAAGGTAACAAGAGCTCCAGTGTGACCTCAGCTGCTTCTTGCACACAATATAGAGGAGAAAAACCAGAACCTGGCTTTTCCCACCTGTGGGTTGCATTAAGCTTCCAATTTGCAGTTACTTTGAGGCAACAGCCTAAGCTTTGTGGTCCCAGAAGAGACATTTTATGGCATACATGTACTAAAGAAAGAAATGAATATAACTTGCAAAAGCAAGTTTACCCGCTGTGGTAAAATCCAGCCATAGGCTCCAGGGCTGAGTTCTGATTTTCATTTGAAATAGAATCATTCAGCCACTAAGGTGCTAAACTATGAATTTGCCTTGTATATTTAAGGAAGGCAGACATTCATATACTATCATAGAAACAATGAAACTTTTGAAGAACATAATAAAATGAATGTATAATGAACAGGTAGGTCATCAAATAATTCAGAGGCCATCTTCTCAATAAAGCTTCTTAATTTGTTGTTTAGATCATTGTTTAATAAGGAATATTCATTTCAATAGAAATCTTCATACTGTTGTGCAGTAAAAGCAACACAAAGAAAACAGTCTGCCCATTCATCCACAAGGTTCTGTTCTCCACTCACTTTTCTTCTAACTCCATGAGAACAATCCATCTATACCTCATCCTCCATGGAGCATGTAGACAATGAACTTCACATTTCCAGCCCCAAGAAACACTAGCAGAGCCTCATTCCTTACTACCTATCTCCTCTTTTGTATTCCACAGTTTGTCAGAACTACATGCTATCTTTACTCCCAATTACTTTTCCTGACTATATGTCTGACTTTGTCATCAATTTAGTAACTAGGGCTTTCATTTGCTCATTGAAAGTCTGGAAGGGATCTGTCTTTATGACATTTCTCCTACCCTCCTCATCTCTGTCCTTACAGCTCAGTCTGGCTTCTGGATGACTGTAACAGCATCCGTATAATTGCCTCATGATGCCTCTCTGCCTGT